ATAGGGATTATAGGGGATATATTGGGGTTGTATAGGGATAATGGAAAAGAAAATGGAAACTACTACAATGGGTTATATAGGGATTATAGGGGATATATTGGGGTTATATAGGGATTATGGAAAAGAAAACGGAAACTACTACAATGGGTTGTATAGGGATTATAGGGGATATATTGGGGTTATATAGGGATTATGGAAAAGAAAATGGAAACTACATTATTATGTTAGGGTATATACTGGGGTTATATAGCAGACATTGCATGCACCGAATTTCAAATTTCTTGGATCAGCTTGAGACGATACCTTTGAATCTTGTCCAAACCCCTGCGAAATCGCACATGGCCTACGCACGCACACCCTGCGCTCTTAACCACCCCTATGAACGTGGCACGTGGGTAGGACATGATGGTGGATCTGACAAGAACCTGAGGTTGGGGAGAAAGCCCCAGCAAGCTCGCACTTCAGACAAAAATATCTGATCCCTGAACCCTAAATCCATAACATCGAAAGAACCCGTCAGCTGACCCCGATCTCAAGATGACGATTCAATTGTGTGTATATATATATGTGTATATAGGGATAGTATAAGGTTATGTAGGGGTATATTATGGGGTTATATAGGGATAATGGAAAAGAAAATGGAGACTATTGTGTTCTGATAGGGTATATATTGGGATTAACTGGGGATAGTGGGCAAAGATGGCCTTCTGGTCGGTATGCCGGCCGTGCGGAACCTGCCGGCATCCGAAAAGCAACACTGACGTGTCTTGCAGTCGGCTCTATGCTGAACCCCATCTGACATTAACCCAGTCTCCATTTCAGAATCATGTTCCATTTGATTTTCCGTGTTGTTCTCCATGATTGAGGTACTATCCCTAAACCTACACCCTAGAAATTCCAGGAAACGCAAAGACACCTCGCCGGGGAAGTAGGTGTGCAAGAAGCGGGTCAGGAAGCCCTCTTGCGTCGGTTGCGGCCTGCGGGCTCAGAAATTCGAGCCTCACCAGTTTCTGGACCAAATACAGGTTCTATGGGGCCTTAATATTAGGATCGAGATTATAACCCCCCTTAATACGGGGGTTTATTAACAAGGGGCCTACATTATGTAGGGTTTAGGGATAGCACCCCAATAATGGAGAATCAAATGGAAAATCCAATGAAGACTGGGTTATCATGCAGGGCTTTATGAGACTAATGAGGATGTGGCAGGTTGGTGGCAGGGTGGATCGGCCAATTCCAAGTCGTAAGCTCCCTGCATCAACCCAATCTCCATTTGATTTTCCATCTCATGTTCCAATTGATGTTCCGTTTATTGTCCATTTGATGTCCAATTTGATTGCCCATTTGATTTCCTATGTTCGGGCGCTATGCCTGCAACCCCGTATGAACCCGAACATACACGGGGGGACAGCAGTTTGTCTTCCTTCCATACACTACACACCTTTTGCCAGGAGACCTCTTCTGTCCGTGAGCTATCCAAATGCAGACCCAACGGCAGCTAAAGATACATCAAACTGCTGAGCTCATGCAAACTTCTTCAGGCCAGTCTCCGTTCCCACCTAATGTACCATACAGTCTAGAAAGTTCTAGCCTGATTGAATCGAGTGATAAGAGGGGTGGATTCAGAAACGTATTTGATTTCGGTGGGTTCTCAATGGAGAGGCCTCCAAAAACTGCAGGAGTCTATAAGGTGATACCCTGTATAATCCCCTGTATAACCTGCTCTTGTCAGGAGCTTAGCCTACAGTTCATTGGAAGGCATTATTCGTGCTATGTCTACTATATGTACTACTAGTAATATTCTTAGTTCTTCTTCTACTACTACTTCTACTACTTCTACTACTTCTACTACTTCTACTACTTCTACTTCTACTACTACTACTACTACTACTACTACTACTGTTGCTACTCGTATTATATTTGCAGCTTAACATTCGTATTACTATTATCGCTATTTCTACTAGTATCTAAACCCTGAACCCTAAATCCCTAAACCCTAAATCCCTAAATCCCTAGATCCCTAAACCCCAAACCCTAAACCCTAAATCCCTAAACCCTACACCATAAATCCCTAAATCCCTAAATCCCTCCACCCCCAAACCCAAAAGCACCCCTCTCGGCCGTCCCCTGAGCCATGGACGGGCCACTCATCAGGGGCTCAGCTCCGACCTGGCACAGAAAGCAGTAAAAAGGGATTCCGAGGTTAAAACCATGGGCCCTTAGTATGGGCCCTTAACCCTGGAATCCTTATATACCTACTATTTACCCTACATGTACCCTTAAGGGCCCCTAGAATCCCCCTAAAAAGGCCTAAGGGCCCATATTAGGGGCCCATACTTCTACCCTTTGAGGGATAATGCGGCAAAGTAGTAATATGGGGTTTAGGGTTTAGGGTGTTAGAGTTTAGAGCTTGAAGGGTTTGGCATTTGGGGTTTAGGGGTTTAGGGCTATTTTTTCCTAACAGCTGACTGCTAAGCAGTGGTTTAGGGCGGTAATCTAGTAATACAGCTATAGAGTACCACACATAGTTACATAGTAATGTGCAAACGTAATGGAAACCGAGCCGCAACATCGAAACCCTCTCCCCCTTAAAGTGCCATGGAACCTGCGAGAAAATCAAAACCACTGTCTTTTTTCTGGATGGAGCCGTGTGGAGCTCCATGCGAGTTTTGCGGGAGGGTGGGTAGCAATGGATGAAGCAAACCAGGCATCCCCCATGCGACACAAGCGGTTTGGACTCATCATGGGATCAGCTTTACAAGGCCGGGCTTGGAGTAAGGGACACACCTAGGCCACGGCCGTTTAGGGTTTGGGGGCACATCGTATCGCTGAACATCAGTTTTCCCGCAATGACTTCACTGAGTGGCATCGCTTGCCAGCAACCGATGACTGATAATTGTGTTGCGTGTTTTTTGGTGGTTGAACCTAGTAAGATTATATTCCTATATAAAATACTATACCCCAAAAGGAGGAGATAATCTTACTCTATATTGGGTACCATAGTATCCCAAAATAAAATACTACTCAATTGGAAGTGCTCAGGTCGGATGATATGATCCCAATATATACTCAAGAATATCAAAACATTGTGTTTTCCATGACCCTTATATAATCCTAAACCCTAGATGATACACAGAAATGCACTGAGTCCCTTATGTAATCCGTCCATTTTCCTAAAACCTACTCTACAATGCTACAATAATTTCCGTGTAACTCCTGGGAACAGCTTCCGAAGCTTTCAGTTGAGCCTAACTCACTTCATTATTGTAGTCATTCTTTCCAATTGTCCTTCTTAGTACTATGTATGAGTATATTGTCGTGTTACTAACCCTAAACCCTAAACCAAGCCCAAGACAGTAAACCCTAAACCTTTAAACCCCATAGAACCCTATATAGTCCCAATATAATATGTTCCCTGTCTACCCCCTACATTCCCCCCTCCGCCCACACACCCCCCCTCACCCCCCTCCCCGCCCTAAACCGCGGTATACCTTTCGCCTGGGCCAGGCCTTAAGTCTCCTTTTGCGTGTCTCTGTTTGGAGCTTCTTGGAGGGTCCGAGGGACTTCATAGTAATGGAAAACGAAATGGAAACTACAATATTCAGGGTTCAGGGATGTAGGGTTCAGAGTAATGGTTCCTACTACTGCGTCTATGGCAGGACCATAGCATCTGCATATCCCCATCTTGCAGCAGTGTGCTGCTGTGTGACCAGCACCACAGCACATTTGGGATACACCAGCGAGCCGTGAGACCCAACAGGCCGCAGCTACTTTTCGAGGGTGGCCACGCACCACGTTCGGGATCTGCCGGCATGCCTAGGCGAGCATCCAGCAATAAAAGAGGTGCCTCAAGTCTCTTGTAGCGGGGGCGTGCAAACAGTGTAGCTATGTGTAGCTCAGCACAAAGCCAGCAGACCTTTGGAGGGCAGGCCGTCACGAAATTTAAGTGAGGTTAATATGAAGGCTGAACCGGACAAGCTTGGCCGCAAGATTCCGCAGAATGATTACGATCGATATAATCAGCATCATGCCAGGTTCAATTTCACAGCTTTTGTCAGTTTTGAAGCAAAATCCGCTTTACAGCTTCAGACCCTGAAAGGTCTGGTACAATATAGATGTACAGGGAGGAAGGCAATGAACATGGAAACTACATGAAACCACCATAAATTATGACACAAGTAGGGTATGTATATGTTGGGAGCAAATGTTATGGTTCTGCAGGGATATCTCCCCAATAATGGAGAATCCACAGAATCAAATGGAAAAGAATATGGAAAATGAAAGTGGTTTCCGCCAAGCCCTAAACCCTAAACCAGGTCGCAAATCTGCAGGTTTTGGGACAGCAAAGCTCAGCGTCCAGCCATACTTTCACCTGCGCCATCTGCCTGGTTGGTGTCACATGGGGATGGCTGTATTAATAGGATTCTATACCAATAGGATTATATAGTAATAGGATTATATATGATATAGAGTTCTACAGGGATAACGGAAAAGAACATAGATATTACGCGATATTGTAATAGGGTGTAAATTCAGTGGTCTTACTTCAGAATCCTCAAAGATGGATCCTATCTTAGGGGGGATGACGGAGGCTGGCTTGCCCGCATCACCCATGCATGGCGTTCTGGCGCAAGAGTTGCGGCGGCCTCCCCTGTCTGGCACGTCTCCCTCCGGCAGATAGGGCCTTACTGGTTGTGGCAGGACGTCAGGCTGGAGCTGTGTATGTGGACATGACAGCCACGGCACTTGGGCAGCCAAACTGAGAGCGGATATCCCTCTCAGGTAGCAGCATTGCGTTATGCGATACTCCCCCGGCTGGAATGCAATGGGACCTCGGTACTAGCTATTCTGCGCTTCAGAGTGTTTCCACTGCAGTTGTGAAGTCTTGCAGCCTCTCCCGCTTACACTGATCGGGGTGCGAACCAAGCACGAAGCACTTCCAGCAAAACCTGCACTGGGCAAGATTGCTTGGTTGAGCTTACGGTCGTTCTTACTGCTGGTCAACATGCGTGCTGAAGGTGTGATTGCAAATGTGGAGCTACAGTAGCTGCGGAACAGTAGGAAGACCGACAGACGCATTCAAGAGCCAGCGTGCAGGACATCAGGGTTGCGCAGCACAGGAGGTAGACTCTGATGAGCTCACTCCTCATGGCGGCCTATGTTTGCAAGAGAGCTCCACCATGTCCGTAATGGTGTCCAGGCAAATGGGGCACTGTTGGGGCTCCTGTCGTTCGAGTGATCACAATCTGCAGACGGTGCACAGAGAGTGCACAGAGGGAGAGAGAGGGAGAGAGATAAAGAGAGAGCGAGAGAGAGAGAGTGTGTGTGTGTGTATGTGTGAATATTATTAGAATAGAAGGCCCCACTTGGTATATCATGAAGATGTCTGGCAACGTGTAAGCATGGACTAGGTCTCAAAAGATGTGCCCACAAGGTGCTAGGCCAATGTATTTTGAGGTCTGTCTGCGCCAGTCCCGAAACCACACTGCCTTGTCGTCTTCGAGAGCACTCAGATTAAGTATTCTCACCGCTGCATTCTTTTCGAATGGCACTTCACTTCCAGCCCAGGCATGCACACACCGTAGACTGGGTTGCTGTTAAGGAACTTCAATTAAGTTGCCATAATGGATATATCTTATTATTACTGGGGTTTCCCCAATATAGTACCTTAAACTGAATTCCTAAACAGCAACCCAGCAGAGAAGATATAGACTTTTAGTCCAGACGTCGTTGGTTGGTTTATAGAAACCGAGGACACTTTGGCTTGGCTGCTGCTCCTGGTTGGACTGCGAGCGAAATGCTCCGGCGTGCTCGGCTCCCTGCCGTGCTGCAAGACAATCCAGATATCCCATTTGCACAATCTTGAAAATCGAATTGAGCTCCATCAATCCACACACCGGGGACAGGGGCCCTGAACTTCAGTCCATACTGCTTGCGTGGCATGGCCTGAAGGGGCAAAGAGAACCGCGCACTCCGCAAGCAAGGACAAGACAACTACATGGCCGCTCCCCTCCACTTCACAGAAGGGGCTCTGCTGTGAAATTCCGCCTCGGGGACTAACTCTGACAGCACAAGCCTCGGCGCAGCTGCAAGCATGTCTCGGGGGCTCTTTGTTTTGGGTTTGGGGAATGGAGGCCGAAAGACAAAGATACGTGGGACATCAGCTCGAGAAGAACGGAAGCCGGCGCATGAGTAGGCATCAACGCCCAAAATGAGCGCAACATGTTAAAGTTCACCTAAAGCTCTCGCGATAAGACTCTCTAAGCACCCTGATGTGAATCTTGAGGCCCGAGCATGTGCCCTAAGGACTCGATGGAAGCATGGAGCTCGGCAAAGTCCGAGCCGCTGAAGAAAGTCTGACCTGCCAGTAGCCCCCTTCCCCTACTATGAACCTCCCCACCCCAGGTGTAGGGTTCCCCTCCCCCTAATATTAAACCCCCCCCTTTATATTAAATACTCCCAATATATTGTAATATACAACAATGCGGGGTATTTAATATTGGGCGGAAGGGTTTAATATTAGGGGGAGGGGATGACTATACAAGTCTGTCTGCACATCCTCGAGCGTTGGAATTTCAACGGCCGCGGGCAGCAAAAAATGCTTAACCACCAAGTCTGGCTTCGTCATGTCTTGCTAGTAGCGTCCATGTCGCTTCCAATTCGATGTTCCAGTCCTAAACCCGATATGACCCGATACAATAGCTTCTTGGAGCTCGTACTTGCAGCAGTACAGATGCGAGGATCACAGGACTTCATCGCGGAGGGAGCCAGAAACTATGACCCAACTAAAGCTTGGATGCTCTACATTCATGCAGGACTGCATAGGGATTACATCAAGGTTATATAGGGGGAAGTATCTTAGGAATGCAAAACCATATTAATGGGTAATCAAATGGAACATGAAATGGAAACACCCGTAGAATTGAGGGCTATATAGGGTTTACTAAAGTGCAATCCTAGGGGCGATGACAAACAAACCTCAATAGGCAGCTAGTTCAATTGCGCAGCAACCCAAGGTTGTAAAACCATAGCGTCGATGGACGAAATCCTGCATGATCTTAAACTTACTGCTTCTTGGTAGGGAATACGGGATAATAACATATTCCCCTATTCCCTGCTAAGCCCCAGTAAGTAAGGACAGTATATACCCCCCTACAATTCCACTGGTGCTGTAACTTCGAGTATGCAAGCTCACGTAGAATTGCATCCATCAAGAGTAGGCTTGCTTGCCACCAAAGACAAATGTAAAGCAACGATAATAAGAAAATACTAACAAATAACAATAAGAGTAATATTAATCATCATCAATGATCAAATGAAAGCTAGGTGGCTGACGGGAGAGCCATCCAGCCCGCTCTGCTGCAGTGTCCTCAATTCCGAAGCCTGGAGACAGAGGATATGCTACGCTGCTACACCAGCATCTGCTTGCCTGTAAAGGTTTTAAGGGACCCTAAACCCTAAGCCCTCAACCCTAAACCCTAAACCGCGATTGCTGGGATTCTCATCTGGCCCATCTCAGGCTCAGACTGGTCTGCTTCCTGCGCTTCTTCAGGATCTTCACCTGGGCTGAAATGCTTTGAAAAAACGCAAAAGCAGACAAATTGTAGGTCATCACTGCCGCTGAATCCCACATGCATGCAGCAGTAGCCGAGTATACCTGATCGGGCCCCGGCAACAGCCACCGCATTCCAAACGGCGTACTTGCGCAGCTGGTCTACCTTGCGGAGTTTGCAGAAAGCTGTTCCGGCTAAGAACGAACGTCTCGCTACGCCGTAGATCGTCTTCGTGCATTTTGGCAAGTTCACATCTTGTTGCGGGAATCCGGCAAATTTAAATGTTGTAAGGCCGGCAGACCTCCTGGAGGATGTCCACCAAATGCCTGGCAAGGTTAGCTGACTCGACAGAAACATGCCCCATCTCGAATTCCAGTACCATATGATCCATGTATGCGAAGCACTGGACAAATGTGCCTCAGCGCGTCCGACCGTTTCGAGGCGATGCTTCCTGAACCACAAGCACCCAGCGAGATGAGAGCTTGCGATGTGGGTCGCTTTTTGTTTTGGAGGAGGGGGAGGCGGGCGGCGGGCTGGACGCACGCGTTGGATTCAACATTAGCTGTTTTCTGGACTTCCAGTTTAGCATATAAGGTGCAGAATTTGCGGTTTAGGATTTGGGGTGTAGATTTGGGATGCAGAGATCTGCAGACCTTTGGGGGCATGCGGAGGAAGAGTGTGGGGGAGGGGTGCGTATCCCTAGAGGAACCCACGTCCAGAGCAGCTAGCTGAGCCGACTTTCAAATTTCAAAAACCGTGTGAAAACCATGTTTTTTAATGAAACCAGACGTCCTGGCTGAGGTTTGGGGCCCCAGGCCGCAAGGCCACAAAATTCCAGTTTCGGGGTAGGGGTTTCGGATTTAAGGGCTTGGGGTGCACAACTTTTTGAAATTTACAGTGTAGCTTGTAGGATTGAGGGCTAGGGCTTCAGGACTTTGGGTTCGAATGCATCCTCAACATGACGGCGTCCTTTTGGGCAGCTACAGCCGTTACAGAAGGTATATACGCCCCACCCCACATGAAAATTGTGGATCCCGTTTTGGGTTCCCAGGAAAATAGGACCGTTGGATCTACAAATGAGGGGACCTCAACTTTGGGGAATACTGACTTGGTATCTCAGTCGTTCGGGGTTCCAGAGCACGGATACCCGAGGCACTCCCTTTGTAATCACCAGAGATCCTTCGGCAATTCAGCTTCCCTGGTGTGCCCCAGTGCCTCAAAGCCTCGCAGTACATTATTTCTAAGGTCCAAGTTGGTGTCCCGTATCTCATCCTGGAACAGCAATTTGCAACAATTGCCTGAAAAATCACCTGGTGGAAGAATCGACTGACGCAAGGGGAGTGTTGGATACGGCATGAGCATCAGAAACCCACAGGGTCCGAACGCGAGGAGGCATTCACTGAGGGCAGAGAACTGGGTTGCTGTTAAGGAACTTAATCGTTCCATAATGGGTACATATAGTAAATAATAGGCTTTCCCCATTAAAGTAACTTAATCTAACTTCCTTGATAGCAACCCAGCTGAGGGCAATAAAAGCCTTGCCTCCATCATCACTGCCAGGTCCCTGTGTCATTGACTCTATTGGGGTTATGTAGGGATAATGGAAAAGAAAATGGAAATTGCCTTAATATTATGGGGTTATGCAGGGGTTACTTAGGGGATAGATAGGCAGAATGGAAAAGAAATGGAAACAACTTTTTAGTATGTTGGCGATATTTAAGGATAATTGGGGTTCGGCTCTGCGTTCAGCTTTCCTATCCCTTTGCTACTCTGCTTCTATCCTCAAACTGAATGACATGTGGACACCTGTGGAAGGCATAACTTCACGCAGAAAGCTTTCAGGCATGTATGCATACGATTTCAGCGGGGATCACTCACCGCGGGCGTGCATGAAGCTGGTCCCTAGAAGGCCGTCGATACAAACAGACATAACTTAGGAGTTTCTGAAAGTTAGGGTCTCCGGTTGTATCCAGGACCTTTCGTATGAGGACCGGCTCAAACGGCACTCGGAGTGCATAGGACAACATTCCACTAGCCTGCTGGGTATGGAGCTCCTCAGAGAGCTGGGCAGTCCTGGCGCCATTGAACGTCAAAGCTATGGCCTTTCCCTTGTTTGGTATTCCTACGTAAAACTCTCGGAGCTCACCCGAGGTGCCAATCATGATCATATGAACCTTGGTCAATTCTACTATGGCTTCTTCCCGCGCGTCGATCACCAACTTGTTGCGCGCCACTGTCCTATTCAGCAGATCGTGCTGGTTTCGCGAGAAGCACTGATTCACCTTGGAGGAGGGATGCACTCTCGGCAGTTCTCTGCCTTTCATCTGCGCTTTTTTTACTCGCCCAAGCCTGTCCTTGAAGGATCACTAGATAGAAATGCAGCCTGCCATACAGCTATGACAAGATCCCCCCCCCAAGCTGCAGCATAATCCCAAATTGAGACCTCCAGAACTTGATAATCCAAAAATATACATATATGCATATATGTATATATACATGTATCTACATATTCATTTCTCGGGGCCGTAAATGCCCTCCACTTGGAAAAACTCAGTGCGGATGCTCACCCAGGACCTGGACAAGGCCGATTTCGGCAGCCAGCTCCTCTTCGAAGGCTGTGTTGGCAGTTAAAGCCTGGCAGGGTCAAATGGTTTAGGGTTTAGGGCTTAGGGGATGTTACCAGGTATTTGGGGGGTATCTAGGGAATATGGGGGGAAGGGTTGAAACTGAGTAACGCTTCGTGGTGGTTGAACTAAATAAGATTGCAAACCTGACATACAGCACGATAACCTCAATGAAATGATCTTGATCGAAATTGGGGACTGTGCGTCCCCAGCAAAGCATCCTACTTACGTAAATGAGGTGTGGCTCGGAGTTACAAGTCTGTCAAACCCTCCGGCTGTTCAATTGTCAAGGCAATCTTGACCTCAGACGTGAGTACCTGAGTAATGAGCCCCACCGCTCATCATCTCGGCTCGCAAGTTTCATCACCACCTTCCGACTTGACCGTATGTTGCAGGTGGCCGTCGCAGTTGCTGCTGGCAAGCCGCGCTGTTTCTTGCTGGGCCAGATATGTCATTGCGGTTTCTCATCCGCTCCCCAATGCACCTGCTTATAGTACCAATTTTTCGACCTAAAACGATGTCGAATAAACTCCGTTTCCTCGTGACTGTTTCGTAGTTGCTGTACTACATCATCACCCAGGCCAATAGTGGCATCTTCGCCACAAGAATCTTAAAAGGGAGGAACGCTCGTTTCTGCGAAAAAGCCGAATGACCTGAAGACGATGTTTAGCTGCGGTTCCTCCCAGTCGAACCGCGAACCCTACATTTAATACCTCCCTTTGCGGCCAACTTTGTTACGTTCAGGGACCCTGATATGCTGAGAGGTTGTGGAAGTTCCTCTGAAGGATCACCGTAGCATGACCAGTGGGTGACAGCTAGAACCCACAAACGCTCGACCCTGAGCTCTAAAGCTTTAACGCTGCAAGCCTCACACCATAGATCTTAAACCACACATGAGCTGTATAGTCTAAACTCGTATCCCCCTTTAAAACCCCTTTCGCCCTACAGAACTCCTCTATAAATCCCCTATATAACCTCCTTGAAAGAGTGTAGACTATAGCTCACATTTCCCAAGTCCGGGGTCCCTCAAACGGGAGCCTCGGCGAGCTCACTGGTCTGCAGGCAGGCTACGACATCTTTTATCCTAGGAATGCATGGGCTTAACACCAGGATTCTGAAGTTTTCTGGTCAAGCAGTTCATAGTGATGATTTGGGGAATCTCCTCTGAGGGGGGCTCTAGGGGATGGTGGGTTTTTGGGCTGTGGGTTTAGTAATTGAGGATTTCTTACATGGGATTCCTTGGGATTTCTTTCAAGGAGAACTTACAGATCATTTCGAGAGGGTCCCTTGAAGATGCTGGTGGGCTGCAATACAAAAGGCACACAGTACGTGATGGCTGGGTTTGTAGGGTATGGAGGTATATCATTGTTAAATAAGGACTCAAGGTTCAGGGCCCACACTAAGAACCCAAAGTTCCAACTTCCAACCCTCATTGTGAGTTGTCGTTGGGTCAAAGTGCTCTCCTTGGTGCTTCATGGGGAAGGAGCGAAAGGACACCAGGCGTGATTGTGCTGGATGATAGGATCAAAACGCTATCCTCATTGTCCTACCAAGCACTTGGAGCTACAAGCTGAGCGCTACAGTTTTATGGGGTATACCTACTAATTAAGGGGTACTTACTACTAAACTGTAGGTTATTGGAGCCACAGTTAAGTGACACTCCAAAACAGGAAACCCCAGGAGTGTATAGACTATCATGGGTCAGCCTCTAGAGTGAGCATGTGAGCCGTCTGAGGGGAAGACTTTTTCTTCAGGAGTTTGTACTCCACATAGTGAAGATCTGCGTGGCCCTGTGCAATCGTTCTCTCTTACATGCTGTGACCGGCGCAGCATCACTACGGGCAAATTGTCAAAGCTAGATCCGAGAGAAACTAGGAGCTACGTTCTGGATATTCAACCAAAACCTTCGCAGAGAGTCAGGATAGCACAAGCTGCATGCGCAAGATCACATCAAATGACCTCCTGCTGGCAGCCAATGCTCTTCCCAAACCTCAAGGCACAAAATGGGAAGCCACTGCATGCCCATGAGCTAAGAGATGCTTGGAGTCACTCAGAATCTGCGCAAATGCAGCAGACGCTGAGACAGGCATCCCTCAGGCAGAGTCTCACCGACACTGGGATAGAGGCTTCATGTTGGATGAAGATGCAAGAAAATAGCGAGGAGCAAAAGGCCAGACTAAGAATCGACAAGCTCTTCCCCCTGGGCTGTTGCTAGCTCTGTGAAGAAGTCTGACAGTGGTTTCTGGCTGCTCATGTGTGCAGCTGATGTTCTATGTAAAAGCTGCTAAAATCTGCTAAATTTCGTAGTATGGGATTTAAGGGAACCTCTGTGAGCCAACGTACTCTGTGCGCAGGTTGCTGTGGACTGACGAATAAGGTTTGAACAATGAGTGTTGGATGTTCCCAAAAACTGGGATCCAGAAGATTCCTGGGACGCTTGACGCCGGGCCCCGTAGCGACAGAAGAAATGCCTGGAAAAGGACATATGTAGCAACACCATGCATACTGCCTCTGACCAGACGCAAATGCCAAAGGCGTGACGAAGGCGGCCTTTCCTTAACAACTCCTGAACTCTACAAGCTGCAAGGGCTGGAAGCTCCAAAGATCGGCCAGATCTATCCTACTAGCAGTATTACTATACTTACTATAATTACTATGATGGCTATGCCTATAGATACTATCAATATGAGTAGTATTCTTATCATCATTCGCCATCAGCCCTCTTGTTTATGGAGCGGGGGAGGGAGTTCCCGCCACTGCATGTCTATCCTCCAGGGCACAGGACTGACAGCATGATTTCTCTGATGCCGCGATGAGACGCCCACCTACGCATGTTGTTACAAAGGAAGCAAGGTTCCTTCATCATGCTTCCTTAAGCGGTGAAACTGTCAATTGCCATTCAGACTTGTGGGCTCAATATTGAGTTGGGAAGGTTAGGATGCAGTCATACTATACATTTCCTTGCAACAAAGTCTGGCAGTAGGTAAGGACGGTAAGGAACACGCCAGATCATGTTGTCATCTTAGGCAAGACTTTAAGCTACTTGAGGTGCCTTTGCCACTGGTGTTGCTGCCGCCGTGAGGTTCACACAGTACATTTGCACAACAGGATTCGACCCTTCTTCGGAAGTCAGCCTGCTCCTTACACAGCCCCGCTGAACACTCACATCCATTGGATTCTTGACCTGTCTAAAAGAAAGGCAGAAACAGGAAGTGCCCACCAGCCAGTTCACCTGCGCCTGCAGCCTTCTTCGAAGGCCAAGGCACATGAGCTTCGGCAACATGTGGTTGGGACTGTCATGAACACTAAAAAGCAGCCTCCGTTCATGTTCTGACTCTTAGAACGTTCAGCTCATAGAGACCACTATGACCAGAACCCCATTTCCTATATACTATATAGTCGTTTCCATGTTCTTGTCCATCATCCCCATATAAACCCCTCATAGTAAGTAGTTTGCGTATCCTGTCCCATTATCCCTATAGTGATCCCAAAGCCTTGCAGAGAGCCGCCCCCTAAAGCAAATACTGGACTCAGCAGCTGCTTAAAGCCGGACGCAGGCGGGCCGTGGGATCGGAAAGTACCGCCGCCCCTGCATGGAAGAATAGAGGGGATTATATCGGGTTATATAAGGATTATATAGGGTTCTATAGGGGATTACATAGGGTTATACAGGGATTGTATGGGGGTTATATACAGGGTTAAATAGGATTTTATGTGGATAACAGAAAACTAAAATGGAAACTACTATTTAGGGTTTAGGCTGTGGGTCACCATGTCACTTCTAAGGCAGCCAAGAGGTGGCTTTCAGCGTTTGAGGACAAGCTCATATTCTTGAAACCTCCAAGTACCCAAAAGCACCCCAAACCCTGAATAGCAGGTTCCATATTATTTTCCATTCGCCAAGTTCACTCTGGCGATGCTTACAGCTGATCTTGCAGGGCCTTGACGCGCGTCGGAAAGCTGTGGTAGCCCCGCCGCTTCTTCAAGTACCAGAGGCTCATGAGAAGCTCCTGCAGGTTTCAGCTCGAGTGCCAAACATGCAAGACAGTATCCCGCTTTACCTGGAGTGCCAAGATGGTAACAGGACTTGTATGTATGGGCATTGCCAAAAAGTAGCGGGTGTCACTTCTTGGGCATATCTATGATAAGGACTGTAGTAGATTGGGGTCTCTGTTGGGGCCCCTTCTTTATGGAAATCTCCATCAGGCATGAGGAGGCCAGGTCAGAGACTGATGGCCTCCTCGTCCACGTCGTCCTCCGGCTCGTCTCCGCTGCGCGCCGCAGCTGCGAGCAAAGCCAAGCGACCGTTGTTGATGGACAGGTCAAAGAGGCCCTTCTCAAATACCTCAGGGGATTTCACAGGTACTCCCTAGGTTGACCTCATTTTTTAGATCCTCTTGGTAGTGGCTTGCAGGCATCTTGACTTTTTGGAGACGTCCTCCGACATGCGTGCCTCTTCCTCCTCGTCCAAGCCCAGGGGGTCGAACATCGGCCCATCAGTATCCAGCTCTTCGGGTCCAACATCCATAAGGCCAGTAAGCAGACACTGGTCCAGAAACGCATCAGACTTCAGGGGCTTCAGGTCGGAATTCTGAGACCAAGCCTGGACGGCCACCGCAGCCAACATTTCAACGCGCCGTTTGTTCAGCTTCGTTTCTGAAAAGGACACGCTCTTCGCCAGGGCTGGCGACCTCCTGTGACGCATGGCGCCCTTCCGCTGGGTGCCGTCCGTGAACAGCAGCGGCAATTCCGACAAAGGCAGCATTGGGACCTCAAGTGCACGGATCAGCTGCACCTCTCGGCAGTCCCTTACAGCAAGCCACCCTAGTGATGGTGTCCATGGATAAGATTCCAGGTTCGCGGCCGTCAGCGGTGCAGGTAAGGGATCCAGCATCACGCTACTGTTGCCTCATGGCATTTCTTCATGCACTGCTTCAAAGAGATAACCCCCTTTGCTTCATAACTAGCATTCCTCATTTGGAGAGTCAGGCCTGGCAAGCGCTGGTAAGAACATGTTTAGGCCCCAGCGCGACTTCTGAGGCCCCGAAGGTGACGTGGAGGCTCTCGCAGGCCTGGGATTGGGGCGGCTGCTCAGGAGGGAAGGTAATGCTGCGGTAGGATAGTAGATGATGGCTAAGCTAGTGCTTAGAATGAAGCTTACGACAACGGCTCAGATTTTTGTCAAGCGTACTTACTGTGTTACTCGGTTGTGTATTCCTTCATTCGTTGAACCACACGCTGAGGTGATGGATCCGCGGCACTTGCGGGCAGAGACCCTTCGCACAGTCAAAAGATGAGCCTACTCCGTCATTGCGATGGCCTCTCTGCACTACGAACCACTAGCACGAGTTCTGCAAGGTGTTTTTCAAGGACTTTTATGCGGCTCGGGTAGCAAAGGATGTATTTACGACATGGCCAACCTGGTGGGCAACAACGGCTGCAACAACCCTCTGGCCAGCTCATCGGCCACAGGAGACCAGGCTGAGGACTCAGGCCCACGCAGCCGCGGCAAGGAAGGCGAGGAGCGCGACAAGGGCCTCCCTGCGCCAGGCTAGTATGCACTTGAAATCGCGCATGGTCATCTAGACAGAGCAACACAATTTGAAATCGAATAACATCCAGCTGAGGTCTTGTCTAGCAGGCTGCCATGAAGGCAACTGGGGGCCATAAGCTCACTCACTGAACTACGGGCCGTGTCTCTTGCCAGTCACAGCATGGGATCCCTCAGGCCATATGCTTTTTGAAGCCGTTTCCACCAGCATCCCATCCCTCTGAAACCTCTTGTGATGAAATCCTTCTGCTTCAAACCTTCTTCAGATTCTTGGTACAGTGGAGAAGAGACAAGTTTGCCAAAGATTGTTTAAGTACTCACCAAAGTGCTTGAAACGAGCTTTCCAGAGCTCCTCGCCTGGCATCTCCCTGGCTTTCGGAGCCCGGGCCAAGGAGATATGCTCAATCCAGGTGAGGTTCGGCCCTGGGTCTGCATGGAGCCGTATATGATCTGCATGGCCCTCACTCTGCAAACAACCAGCAGGCATGTGCAGGAATGCACTGCTTTGTCAAAAGTCCCTGCATTGTGCGGGCCTACCTTTCTCGGCGATTATAATGTCATATTTCTGCTTATCACTACTTATCACTACCATACTTCCTCTTATCACAACTTTTAGCATTGAAAGGGCACTCGTCCGAGCACTGTAGTTTCCGAGGCTCTGGCGGAAGTTTGGGGAGCCGGGCATGCTCCCAACTCCGCGAGCCACTTTGGACTTCACGCCTTTCCAGTGTTTGCCTGGGCAGGTGGGGGGGGGTCGTACCCTGAATAACCCTGGGGGTAGATGGAGACAGGTTATGGGGGGGGTTTCTTGTTAATGGAAGGGTTTAGAGGGCGCATGTTAAACAACTCCCATGTAGGAATACTTTGTGGCTTCAGGGAATTTACGCGCTTTTCAAGATTATGAACATTATTGCAGGGTTCTAAAGGTATCTTCCTGGTGAAGCTGCACGGACGGATTTTGCCACGCAAATCTCCATGGAGCACTTTCATTCCTTCAATATCCCGGCAAACCCTGCACAATCCAATACAATCTCTGCAGTGTAGTCCGCATGATCAGCCTATATCTTCAAGGCCCAGTTTGTAGGTAAACGGCGTGCGAGCCCCGCCTCCCAGCTGTGTTGTGGACATTGACAACCTGAGACCAGATGAGCAATGACCATTTTCAAGTCTTGGTGGCTGGAAATCGTCGGCTACTGAGTCATTTGAAAAAACACTCCACCCATGCCGCTAGCTAAAAGTATATTACAGCATTTTATAGTATATTATAGTATACTGTGATATAGTATAGCATATTATAATGTAATGAAACACTCCCAACCCTGTCCGCAAGAAGTGCATGCAGCTGGCTTGAAGAGCATGCGCTGCCCTTCGTTGCGTAGGGGCTCGGGCCCAGCCTGGTCAAGTTGAGAGCTACGTAGTATTTGTTTAGGGTTTAGGATTTAGCTTCATCTCAGGATTTCGACTTCTTTCTCAAGACATCCTCAAAGTGGATGACCCAGCCACCCGACAGGGCAAACAGATCAGGTTACACGAAATGCTGCACCCAAACATGCATTAAAACTGATCCTGATACCAGGATGCCCGCATTCCCATGTCAACACGCGGCCTTCTGACTCCACAACTCAAGAAATATGGGCTGGCGTCAGGGATCTCAAGCAGAGCTGCACACCATCAAACTCGGCCATACAACTCCGGTCCGGACAGCCCACTTGTCTGGATGGTTTGCAAGCATGACTCGCAGCTACGTCTTGGAAACGCACTCTTCAATGCACCTGGCCGAGCTACGTCTATCCCTGCTCCAAAGCCTGGCAGCCTCCAGCCACCACAATGCAGAATCGGCCAATACAAAGGCCAGAATACTTGAACTTCAGGGAATTCTAACGAAGTAAAGTCAGAACTTGACTGCAACGGTGATGTTACTGGCGGTGACGTGTCTGAGGGTATGGTGGCGGCCGTGATAGTAAGTAGTAATTGTAAGAGGTGCTGCCGCCTCGATACCCTGGTCTCGTATACGCTGCAGCTGGCGGATAATCTTCGCCCGCTTGACCTTGTCCTGCCAAGATCAACTGATTGAAGAGGGGCAGGGAGCCCAACAAACGGCACTCTCTGTTGCTAGAAACTCCCAGGAGGGCCCACATGGTACCGGCAAAGCACCTTCTCGAGGAAAAGGAGGTCATCGATGCTAATGCAGTGACCTGGGCCGTCCAAAGGGAACAGCGGGTCGTAGTCAAGCAGCTGCGCGCGACTTTCCCAGTTGCGCTTCCATGATGAATCTCCTCTGTCCAGGGCATCCGCGCCAAAGCAGATTCACGGAGAAAAACCTATATAATACAGTAGTTTCCATTTTATTCCACTATCCCAATATAACCCCTATATAGTCTAGTAGCTTCCATTTGATTTTCCATTATCCCAATATAAATGAAAGATCGTCCAGGAAGCTCCTGGAAGAATCACTCTCGCAAGGAAGCTGGGCCGCAGGCCAGTCACAATCAAGGGATACAAGTTCTTGACGAGAAGCTCCTGCTTCCATGGGCTGGCTACATGTTACCTGGTAGATGATGTATGGCCTACAGAAGAGGTATGACTTGGCATATCATTCTAGGAATTCAGAAGGGGGACATCACATGCTCTGAGTCTGCTGGGCAGAGGCTTCCTTGAATTTCGGCTTTGGAGATGCATAGCCACTGTCGACATCCTTCAACGACAGTCCTCTGTTCCGATGCCCTCTGGGACAGACTCGTCGTCAAAGAAGCCAAGCGCCTGCGAGCATCAACTTCACCGTCTCGGTACTAGCCCGATTTGCCCCATGTTCCTATTTGGCTTCGAAGGAAGGCACACAAACCACATCCCTTCGGTTCCCCATCTCTACAAGAAAAATGCGGAAGGGGCCGGCCCATTCTCTCCAAGGTAAGATGCCCAGGTCCAAGTCTGAAGCCGCCACATGCAAATATGCCAAGATAGGGTTACCCTACTTTGATCCCACAGATGAGGCCAAGTCTTAGAGGTGTCTGCGTGGGGATTGTGTGAGGGGACTTCCTTGAACAACTCCCACATGACTGGGGCAAGCGCTGTAAGACCATGAACAAACTCGCTCTGGCTCACAGTGCCGGTGCCCTCCAAGTCGATTTCCCTCAGTTGCCAGCAAGAAGAGTGCGGCTGCAACTGCGAACAGAAAAGCCGCCAAGCAGGAGTCAGGGGCCCTGCCAAACCCTGACACCAAAAACTCTTTTGCTATATTTCAATGAAGAGACCTTCTTGCATGTGATTTTTTGGCCAATGGTTGAAACGCTTCAATTTGGGGCCCCTGGGGACCCTGACAGAATTCAGATTAATCCCGAAGTGGGTTTTTCGGAGACTCAGAACTGCGGGAGCGTTGAAGCGGACACGTATCTTTGATGTTCTGACGCGTTAGGCGGAGGAGGGTGCTCTATTGAAAGAGGTACCCTATACAACCCCTATGTCCATTCCATTTTCCATGTTCTTTTTCAAGTATCCCTAAGGCCCCTGTGGTACCCCAATATACTATAATAGTTTCCATTTTCTTTTTCCGTTGTCCCCATATATCCCCACTATAACATGTTCTACCATAATATACTATAATATACTATAATATACTATAATATACTATGATGTACTATGATATACTATAGTATACTATAATGTAGTATAATCTACTATAATATGCTAAAACGATGTTTAAATGACTCAGGCTGCGGCCTGAAGACCTCGGCTGGCCCCCCACGAGTTCGCAAGCACCACAAGCTGAAGGCCTGGGGTATTCATAACATTTCATAACTGACAGGAGGCTTTGGAACAATCCCTGAACAGCATGAAGAATCCTACGATGCGTTGAAGTGGTCCGTACATCATGGGGTTTCGGAACATCTTCGTGTGTGAGCAGATGTGCTAAGTCAGCAAGGGCATTGCGGTGTAAGAAACTTGAAGCCAACTACAAGGCTTCTTCTTATTCCTAGTCAATCTCTCAAAAAGGTGGGTAACAGAAGGGTGCTTATTGCTTCGAGGAGGGAAGAGCATTCCCCCCTTGTCCCAACCGTAGAAGGCCTCCAAGTAGGCAGCATGCTCCGGGTCCAGGGCCTCCCAAAGGAAAGCTGGTCTTGCGGAGCCTTCTATGAAACCTCTAATACAAGATTCTGGAAGCTACAAGGCAATCACTGGAGAAGAAAACCACCCACGTTGTTTTGCTGGAGAGAAGCTTGCCGCTGCCGAGGTCAAGGTCTTGATTGTCACAGCTTGCTTGCTACACTATTGCAGATGATGCGGCTGTATTCTTCCCCTATCATGGAGAATCACATGAAAATGAAAATGGAAAATGAAATGGAAACAGATGTAAGGAACTTAATTCAAGTTACTATATCGGGGATTGCGGGGTGAAAAAAGCTTGCTTTCGTGGCATCGGCCTTGGGAGGTTACCAAAGGTCCGAGGCAATACTGTTTAGAGTTGGTTTCCATAAGCAGGACATATCAGGACTGTACGATGTTGGGATGCATAGAGGGACCCTGCATTTTTGATCCCCAGGCTAGAATATTGAAAGAGGTACCCTACATCACCCCATGTGTCCATTTCATCTTCCATGTTTCTTGTCCACTTGACTCTATAGTATCCCTACGCCCCTGTAGTACCCCATTACCCCTGAAACGCCAGCTCTAAGACTTGCAGCCATGCCGTGGCCTTCACAGCCTTCACAAAGCCTCTGCAAGGGTGATCACCAGAGCCCCGGCCCAGCAGTTCTGGATCCATCTTCTGCCCAAAGCTTCCACATAAATAAACCATAAGTAACAGCAAGCTGTAGCCCCGCTTCAAGGTATAGGGCCATCAAACCCCTAAACTATGCCATCCGTGATGAGTCATGCAAGCAATGTGGCACTTGTGAGATGCTCACATGAGATGAAGGGCTGGCCTCCAAGTTCATGGTGCCATTTTCGTTGTACCCAAGCTCTTTCCACAGCTGCGGTATGTTGCCCTCAGAGGGGGCTGCGGGTCTCACTTTCGTGTGTTTCTGGGTCAGTGTGGGCTGCTGACATGATACCTTGTGCGTCACATCATCGCACTAACAGATGATGGCGAAAACAATCAGCAGAGGGAGAACGGCCCAGATGATCAGTTTGGGAGCAAATGCAGGAGCTAAGATGTCTGTGGCCGAAGCCAGCCGCACTCCGTACTTGGCACAGCGAGCGTCCCAAAGCCAAAGGACTCAAAAAGTTGCAATGAGAACAGTCGCAACAAAATGGACCCTGTACCAAACTAGCTTTAAAAACTTTACGAATACTACATAGTTACGTACCGCGCTGACAAAAGCAAATTCGGCCCCCATCACAACCAAAGCCCCACCAGGGAAGGCACCCTCCAGCCAAAGCTGGCAAGGCCGGCGCAGAACTCCTGCACTGTTGCAGTCAGGCTTACGTAGCGGTTTCACCAAGCAACAGTCTATAATCGAGGTAGTAATCAGGGCTATAAAGAGTTATCAGGTGAGTATTATCCAAATGGTACTGAACTCAGTGGGGGCAGTATCCAAAGCAAGACCATCAAGGAACTGGGCCCTTGGCCTGTCCAGCCTGACACTTTAGTGAAAAGCTCCGGTCCTCCCTTCCTTACCTTACAATCCCTGCACACGGTTTGAGTCCAGAATCCTAACCATGTAGTTAAAAACTGGGATCCAAAGGTTCCAGCCAGCTTCTACTGACAATGCCCAAAGCATCCTTGAAGTCCAGCTCGCCATCACCATCAGCATCGAAGTACGTCCGCCAGGCCATAGCTATCCTGAGGCTTGCCAACTTGCTTCTGGAACCATTTAGGACACAGGTTGTTCATGAATACCTAATGCATGTAAACATCCATGAGCCCGTAAAGAGGAATCAAAATCAAGGATCACTTGATGCTTGTCGCGGGGCGTACGTTTGTGAACCCGTGAATTTCCTCTTCAGCCTGCCTCATCAAGACAAAGCGAAGAAGCCCTTGCACGAACATCTTTGGAATACTCAGAACATCCCAAGACCATTGAAGTATGTCACGTCCGCCTCAGAAGCTCTATGAACATAACTGCTTTCTGTCTCCTGGCCTGCTTTAGCAGGTGCCTAGACCAACTAGTCCGAGCACCGAGCTTGCCCGAGCCCCACTCCTGCATTGAGAGCGAAGGATTTCGGGTGTGGGCCGTAGGAAGGTTATGGCGAAGGCCATGCAGGCGATCATGTCAATCTTCTTTGAGTCTTAGGTGCTGCCCCTCATCAGATTGCGGCGCTGCAGTTTGCAAGAGGCTGTAAAGCCGAAAGGAGTGTGCACACCAAGAAGTGGCAGCTGTGCTCCCTAGACATAGACCAGAAAGCAAAACAATGATAACAGCGCGACCATTCTTGGGCTAGATTAAGGGCCATTTAGCACATCCTCTTATGACTTTATATGGAGCATATAGGCTTTATGACTATGGTCCACAATACATTATTCTCTGGACTATCCCAGATTTGGCAACCGCTGTCCCGCATCTGCTCGAGGAAGCCAGAGACCTGTCCGCCATGGAGCTGAGATATGAACAATCTTTCAACTCGCTCATCTAGCGGTCTAGGGGCTTGGACTTCTGGAAGAAGTGCTTCATAGCTTATACATTTATATATATATATGTTTTCCTTTCAGATTAGGAGATACAATCCTGCAACACTGACTTTGCCAGTGACTTAGCAAACGGGCGGGCTCAGGCCTCATTCTGCTCAGATCTCTGACGATCTCGTAAACGCTCTCGGACTTCGAGGTACGCCTTCGCCGGGAGAAAGCGCGTACTGGTTAGTAGGGAATGGGAGCATGGATGCCGAATGATGCCGACTGTAGTTTGTACCCTTCCCCACTGCAGTTGGGTCTGCTGTCAAGCACAGAAACTCCCAGCAATGCTCATTGGTTCAGGCCTAAACAACTGCCCTGCAAAGCCCCTTCACCTTAAGAGCTCCCGCAGAACTAGTGTTGTCTAGATTCCCTGTGTCAGAGCGATACTTGCAAGCAGCGCCTCTTTGCCCTCGAACCGCTCGCGTGGCTCCGAGATCCGAATGAAGGCCTGTTTGCAAATAGGACTCCAATCCACCATGAAAACTCTTTGAGTTGGGCAGGTGATTGGGTGCCTTGCGCTGATTCCAATCCCCGAACAGGAGCCAAATCCTCTCTTCCCTGCCTTGTCATCGGGTCCGCTGCCCTCAGGTGACACCTGAAGCTGGGCACCACACCATAGATCCTGAATCTAGGCACTACATGGCACTGCCATTTTTTAGATCTCATTCTAAACGCAAATCCGCAGCCACCCTGCAATCTCAAGCACCAGTGCCGGCCTCTTCCTCTAACATGGCGGCCCCTAACGGAATAGCAGTTGAGCCAAGGATTGCAAGAAGTTCCTTCCTTGCCGGTGCATTTCCGTTCAGGACATGGCTGCGCGCATCCCTGACCATCTGCGCTTGCAGTTTCGCGCGACGAGACTTTTCGAAATCACACCGTCGTGCACGAGTATGTCATGCAACCAGCTTTGTACCGGCACGTGCTGGAACGTCGGGAGTTGTTCCCGGCAATCCTCCCAAGAGGTGTAGCGGTACGGCTACTTAAGAAACATGCCCGCCATTCAAAGTGTGACTTGGGCAGCCAGGGCACCACAATGCTGAACAGCTGGCAATTGCGACGTGCTGGCTTGCAGAAAACCCTTCATCTCTTTCTTTACTGTATCCCCTGATTCCAGATGCCAGCATTCTCAAACGATGATGCTCCAGCTTCAAGAGAGGACTGGATTCTACCCGGAGAGGAACTCCCCCAGGTCATGCACTCTTTACTGGCCATGGAGCCTGAACTCACGCCACCTGGCCTCAACTCTTCTAAACAGCTATGGGCATGTATGTATGTGTATACATGCATATGATATGATATATAGTACATACAAACATATAATACATATAGATGAGCAACTACTCTTATTTGTTCTGGCAGAATGACTGTATTTTGAATCCTCCCTCCGCCATCTCATTTCCCTCAGAAGGGACCTGATTTTCAAGTCTTACGGGTTGAAAATGTTATGATCTCGTTCATAATCTTGGGACATGAACACAGCTCTCACGTAGATAGCAAACACGACCTATCTCGTTCAATGCATGGTCCCATCTAGGTGCCCAGTGAACGCTGGCCTTAGAAGAAAAATGCCGACAAGGCTAGTCTGCTGCTGTCTTACGTGAATAAGTGCGGCTGCTCATATAAGCGTATATATGGAAATGGACGTGGAAACCACTACGTGAGGATTCGGGGCTTGGGGAGATAGGAGAATCAAATCGGAAAGAAACCGAAAATTAAAGGGATGAAGATCAGCGGACAGCGGGCAGAGTGTCAGGACACTGGACTGGCACGGCTGGTCGACACAGATACAACGCGTCCTGCCCTTTGCGCAGAGGTGTGTTTAAAAAGCACCGACGCACTTTCGTCAGCATCTGTTGTCTGTTCTGCCGCGATGAGCGACGTCGAAAGCTGCTGCAGCAAAGCTCATAAGTTAAAGGTCTACAGGAGCACAAACCATTGCACCTTCAGCCTGCGCTGCCAAAACCATACCGGGTCGAACCTAAAGACATGGTATGCCAACAGCTTTAGAAAATGGTTTGGGCCCCTGCGGCATGGTTCAGCCTTGATCCAGCAACTGCTCCAAGATTCTCCATATCGCATGTGTCCCCAAGAAGCATGCCCATCTCTGGTGCATTGGATTCCCAAGTAGAGGAACATGATCGTAAGCGGTTGATGTACTCATGAAGCTTGTACCGCCTGAAGCACAACTTGAAGATTTCTCTGCTTGGGATCCGCGATAAGGAGGAATCTGAAGAAGGGTCCCGCTCTTGAGGGGCCTAAGGTTGGGAACTTGGATCACAGCATGTCTGGCTTTCTTGTCTGTCAAGACGTTGTCTCTCTCATGGTGCAGCAAAGAGCCCTTCTTCCAACTAGACGACAGCAAGCTGCTGGGCTGCAACTTAAACAAATCTTGCAGGGCTGTGTTAGAACTGCCCATTTCCGCAGGCCTCAGAGCGACAACTTCGCAGTTTCGGTCTGAATAGCTTTTTTTTGTGCTGGCTGCTGGAATCTAAGAAGGTCCTAAGTTGCAAACGGCAAGAATGCCTCTGTCTAAAACTGACAGCCTGACCTGAGGCGCGGAGATTGCATTCACAGGCGCGAAGCCATTCTTCAAACTGCCCATCCTTTGTGAGCACCCTTAAACTTCTAGCCATCAAGAGCAGCTGCCCCAAAGTCCGCGCGGCAAACTGGGCACTTTCCGCTGTATTCGGAGCCTGACATGGACCACTGCGCGATGCAGGGCTCGCAAAAAGTGTGCCCACAGGGCAGCATCGCGACCATGTCCGCATCGTCCATACAGATGCAGCAGGAGCCTAGCCTGGGGCATGCGCCCATTTTGGCACCCACGCAGGGCCCCGTGCGCTCGATAACAGCCTTCATGTTCTTGCAGGTGATCTCGTGGACTAGGAACTGGGGCACCTCTGAGGCAACCTCCTCGGCCGGCAGTGCCGGCAGCTTGGCCCAAATCCGAAAGACTGGGGTTTTGGGGCTGGCTTTGGGGCCTTCTGTACATAGACCACGAAGGAGGAGGATCGTCAGAAGCAGAAGCTGAAACGCCGCGTAGGGCCTCAAACAGCTGGCAACGGCTCTTGCAGATTTAGCAGTCCTTTCAAGGATTGCATCAAAATCTTCTCTCCTGCCAAACCCGAAAGCTTTTCCAGAAACCCTTGAGAAACTTATAGTCCCCCTTAAGTAGATAGAATATGGCTTTGGGTATACTATAGTAAGATCCCCATATACCCCATATTCTATGTACTTGAGGGGGACTATGTTCCTAATATATACCCTATTGTATTATAGTAGTTTCCATTTTCTTTTCCATTATCCCTATAAACCCCCTATAAAATCCCATATTCTAGTCTGCGGCCCAGAAGCAGCACATAGACTGCCCAGTCGGACTTCAAGGCCGGAGAGACCAAGAGGAAAGTGGCCTTGTTCATCTTTAGGGTTTAGGGTTTAGGGTTTAGGGTTTAGGAGGGACAGAGCATCAGTTGTAATGGCAACTCTGGCTGTGTCGCTGGTACTAAGACTGTTTTATGCAAGGTATACAATCCGACAGCTGTCACTTCTTCAAAGAATTCGTAGGACTTGCATTGGCCGTGATGATATCATTCTTCCTTAATCGTACTGGGCCGCTGATAGCACGTAGCATTCTCAGAACATTTTCGTGCGATCATCTACAAAATACTTTGCCAGAGCCTCTACTCCTTTGGGGAGCTATGAAGCAACGAAAGAGCTTCAGGAGAGCCCTTACGGTATCATTGCCATGACCCGTGACCTGGAGCAGGGCTAATGCAAAGACGGTCTCTCGAGAACAAAAGCCCAGGCCTCCCTTATCCCGATTCCACGATAGAACGTCGTGCTGTTTCATCAGCGAACATCTGAGAACCATTTCAATATGAAGGGAATGTTTCTGAAGGAGCTTGGGCAACTCCTTTCTTCTCCACCTACAAGCCTCCGATCCTAAGGATATACGAAGTTTGATTCACTCCCATGCGTCTATCCGTCAAAACATCATTGCAATGACATGATTGCTCCAAGTGGCTGCTAGAAGAAGCATCAACTTGGCGCCCAGGACCTGCGCCTGGCCGCTGCCAAGCCTGGTGGATAAAACCAACAACAATCCTACTAGTAAGAATACTAGTAATAGTAAGATTACTTAATAATTGTAATAGGGGTAATAATAGTGAGAATAGTAATAGTAGCAATAATACGATGAAGAATACTCCACTTACATCCGGGGTTTTCTAGTGGTACTAGGAGAAGTAGCTGGCTGCTAACAGAACGTGGCAACAAGAGGAGGACTCACCACAGCAAACCCAAAATGTCCTACCTCACATAAGTTTGTCTCCCGTCGGCTTCCATTGAACTGTCAGCACAGTCTTCTCAACCCTGCTCCTGCTAGGGATGAACATTTTGTTGAGCTGCAATGACTACTGGCACAACTACTCATGCAATTAGCCTATCATAGTGCTCTTGGATTGCGGGCACTACGTCAGGAGTTGCGACGTTTACATGCAAAGCTAGTTTGCGTGTATGGTCTGTCTTGCCTCTGACTCTGAGCAAGCACAATACAAAGTACTGTGTAGAAACAACTATGAAAAACCGCAGGTTCTGATACCGAGCGAGCATCACCTTCAGCGCTTCTCGTTGCATCAACTGCAAATTCTGTAAAGCATGAACCCACCTTCAACACTAAACCAGCAAAACCCTAAAAGCCAACACGGTAGCTGAAATGCTGCGCAGCTCTTCAGCTCAGGCACTGCTCCTCCGGACTCACGTGTCTAGGTCCTTGCTCCAGGTCTGCAATGCCCCGTCCTTGGTTGAATTGCTGCCCAAGCTTAAGCATCTATTGCTCGTCTCGTTGTTGCTCATCGAAACCTAACAAGCCAGGACTAACCCTGGAACCTTCAGGATAATCAGGCTAGGGCCTAGGGACTATTTGGTATTCATTCCTCCTGTGGCTCATGGACTCCGCCACCCGACACGTCAAGCATGACAGCATGCGCAGGTCCCAAGATAGCACTTTCAACTCCATTTAATCAGTTCCAACAAATTTGTTCCAACCCTTCAATTTGATTCTCCAGTATTGGTGTATACTATGCCCCGAATTAAGATTGGGAATTCGTAAACCCTAAATTTCCGGATCAAATTTCTTTTCCAGTATCCCATTGTACCCCTATATCCCCTAGTCCCTCCATTATCCCACAGACCCCTATATCCCCTACATCCCTTCTTAAGGGACTCAAGGGACCCCGACTGTAGTAGTGGTGCTTGCCATCCCTAAACCCTAAACCCTAAACTGGTCCCAGCTGCCCTCCCAACGGCTACGAAACGGCCAAGCCATGGCTCTCCACAGGAATTACTCCCTGGTGCTTAGTAAGGAATTGGGGAATGGATCCCTATAGTAGTCCCTATATAATTCCCAATAATAGTCCCTATAATCCATTCCCCCATTCCCTCCTAAGCACCAGGGAGATTAGGTAGCTGCAAGTAACATACCCCTGATAAGGTGGTAACGATATGGCAGCGGTAGCAATGCAGAGTTCAGAGTCCAGCATCCTTGAGATCTGATACCTTGAGGTTTTGAGCTTAGTTGCAATGGATTTGAAGATTCCTCTGTGAAGGGTTTGAGGGTTCCCTAAACCCTAAACCGGCTCTGTGAGAGGATTGCCATGGCTAGGCTCCATGCTGGCCTGAGCACAGTAAGAAGCGCAGCACAAGCGCATGCAAACTCGGCATCCCTTCTAGGGTCAAAGGTGCCCAGAAAGTCGGTTGTTGCTAGAGAGAATGACAGGGGTATGGGAAGACTGTAAAAATGAGAACCCTGCCCCTTTCCCCTTATCCTCGAAGCGCTGTGCTTTTAATCTTGACAAAGCTCACACTTACAACGGTCTTGTAGGCTTGCAACCGGTTAAGGATTGCCGCCAGTGCCCGAGGAAAGGATTACTAGGCTGGATTGTGCAGATTGTGCTGCACTAACAACAGCCGCTGCTGAGCACACAAGCAGCTGGCACACGCAGAGCTTTTTTTTCTGCCCACCAATCAATGACGATCACAGCACAACAGCGCGCCATGAGGATGCATCAGCACGAGTGTGGATGCGTGTTCGTTGCTTACTGTCCGCAACATGACATGGCTGTAAGTCTTTGTAGCTCAGCTTCACGAACCGACTTGACAGCTGCATCGTGGCATAGATGTATACTTAACTAACAAGCCGGCTGCAGTACGATGATACGTTCACCCATGCAAGCATCAGCCGCCACTTTGAGCGGCTCACTAAGCATCAAGTAAATGTGCCACACTGCAACTGCTCAGCCCATCACTACTGGACTGCCGCGCATGCAGGCAGGGCCGATCTGTCACAAAAAATGAGTACAAAAAAACCTTTGGAGCAAATCCGCAACACCTGCATACTTACATCATGAAAGCCGCACCTCTTCGTACTCGCGCTTCGTCCTCACCATCTTGGAGAAGATTGCCTCCTGGGGCTGAAGAGGATATCGGGCTTCCATGTTGGCCCAGTGCATTGACACAAAGGATAATGGAGAGAAATTGTGTGAGCTAACCATGACGAACGTAACTGAAGTAACAAATTGCTTTTACATAATTGCGACGCTCAACGTTCAGGCCAAACTTTGCTTCACTCTCAGCCATAAGGTGCAATGCAAGCGTCAGGGTTCAGGGCTTAGGGAGCACAATGGAGAATCATACAGAAAATGGAAACTGGGCTACGAGTAACTCATATTAGGGATCTCATGAAACTTACGTACCGCCTGCGATGCTAATCTAGTGAGGCCATGGATACGGTCTTCGTCAGACATTAGAAACCCTCAAAGAATGCGACTCTTACTTACAACTCTTGTTGTTCCTGGTACGTTTACTGCCGCTGCCGCTTGCACGGCTATTGTCCCACTACTCCTATTACTCTTATGTCATGTCTCGGATTGCCTTTGCTACGAGTACTAGCTCATCACCTTCGATATCCTAGGTCCTCTGTCTTTGCAGGCTGCAACGTCTAAATTTTCATGTCTCCTAAGATTCCGAATACATCTCAGCATGAGAAGGTCGTTCTCTTAGGAGCCGCTCAAGTGCCTAAGTCAGCCAGCCATGTAATGACTGAAAGATCCCACAAAGAAACTCATACCGCTGATATGCAAACCCTGCGTGAGCCTAAGTACTAAGTACCTGATATCTTGGGAACTATGGTGTTCCAGAATACAAAGGTCAAACAGGATTTTCAATATCAACTCAGGATTTCTAGTACCAACAGTCTTTTTCATATCAACTCGGGAGCTTTAGTACCAACAACCCTCCCCCTCCCCCGCCCACTACAATTGCCTGCGCCAACAAGGAGCCTCCGAGCCAGGCCGAATAGCGCCTCTGCAAGTCTGCCCCTAAACCCTAAACCCTATATAACCCCTGCTTTCCCCTAGTTTCCATTTTCTTTTCCATCATCCCTAAAGATCCCTAAGCCCTAATGAACCCCTCTGCTCTCGGGATTGGTGGGCATGTATAGGTGTATAGTCCCCCCCTAAGCATATGGAATATGGCTTTGGGTACATTAAAATCATAATAAGATCCCCATATACCCCATATTCTATGTACTTAAGCGGGACTATACATGATCGCACAAACGGCATGCTGGCTCCAATTACATAAGCGTATGAGTTGTCAATATGAAGCATGTGCTGAGCTGTAGCGCCGCTCTAACTGCGACATGTCAACGATAATATCTCCCAGGAACCTCAAAAGAAAACCTGTACTATGCTCATCTGAAGGAGCCCCCTGCACCGTCGTACAACAACTGGGGGACTGACTGCTGCGCTCTGTTCTTGCTGCCATGCACAAGGACCTGACAGGGGCAAAAGCATAATAATCATCCCAAGGAGCGGCCATCATGATCTGGATACTGCATAAGACGGCATAGCAAGAACCCGGCTTCTCACATAATAAGCAATCCAGGAATCATAGTGCCGGCCTCAACTGCAGATAGGAGTTTCTCAAGATGTTTTGTCCCTAACAAGGACCCCCGCAATCGGTGAACAGAGTAAATAACTCCCAACAAGTACTGGCAGTGCATAGCCAGCACTAAACGCTTTCCCATAAGAATTCACCCCTTCCCCAACCAGTAAGAATCCGAACTCCCCTGGCTTGAAACATTGCTGCTAGGAGGACGGCATTTATCACCTGCAACGCCTGCGGTAGCCGCCTCCGATCGGAACGATCCTCTAATCCATGAGCACTGCTGCTGGATCTCGGCCCAAATAAGGTCCCACAATACATGCAACTAGAAAGTAACTAGAACTCTTTTGGCGGCATTTCCCGGAAATTACGTCTCTGTCTCGAACTGGGTTATACCAGCAGTGGACTCAACAAACAAAGAGCGGGATCCTTGGCAAGACCACTGAACTCTTCTGAATCATGCTCACACAAAAGATCTTTGCTCCCAGCCTTGACATCCTGAGGACGTCGACCAGTGCTAAGCTCAGCCTGCTTTTGAGGATGATCTATGGAGGGCCAACTGCAATCACCGTGCTCGAGAGGCGTGATGCGTGAGTGCGCAAAACGACTTTCTGAGTTGCCAATCCAAGTTGTTGCGTGTTGCAACTGTGCGAAACACAGACTTAGGGTGGCCCAACTTGCAAACCTCAGAATAAATGCTGGCCAGCATGTGCAGAAGGTGCATCTAGCTTTTGCTTGTTTGGCACTCCCTATTTGCCACCAGGCGTTTAAAGATCCTTCCTAGAAGGACCGCAAAGCAACAAACGGATCATCTAGCAATTCCCAAAGGTGACGTAGAGTGGAGTGCCTAAGTTCCAATCCCACTACTGACGGGCGATTGGTTACAGGGACATATTCATATAGGCACTCTTTAGTGATTACTTCATTTTGGGCTCTTCCATAGAGGAGCTTCTCTCAATCCAGGACCCTTGGGATTCTATACAGCTTAAGTCTAAACTCCTAGTACCCCCCCAAAAAAGCCCTGCAATACTCCAATCTAAATTGTTCTCCACAACCCCCTTTAAAGAGTGTAAACTATAGCACATAAACCCTTAACCCTATATAATCCAATATATATATATAACCCCCTTTAAGAAGTTTAGACTATAGCCCCTAAACCCTAAACCCCAATTCCTATATACTCCCCTATATCAAGGAGTTTAGACTATAGTTCCTAAACCCTTAACCCTAAACCCCAAACCCTATACAATCCCCTTTTTCCCCCTTTAAGGAGTTTAGGCACCTTGCCAGTTGACAGCCTCCGCTATCCGCTGGGTTGCTGCTGAGGAACTGAAATGAGCTGTAGTCTAAACGTTTTTTAAAAGGTGGTTATAAAGGGGATTATGTAGGGGACTATTATAGGCTGGTGTTGGGGGGATCCAGATTATGGCTCAAATTAAAGTATCTGAAGATGGATACATGGTAAATACTATGGGCTCCTTAATTACGATGGTAACTTGGTCTCAGTTCCTTATCAGCAACCCAGCTCCACATAGCGGATACAAAGCTTGAAAAAAGAAGAACCAATATACACAATTGAGATTGTATGGCTTGCTAACTGCCATAATGATACTGCAGAACAACCTACTAGACAAGATGGACAATCGCCCAACCATAAGAACGCCAGTTTCACATCAAAGGATAAGTATTTCTCAAGATGATCCCTAAACGATCCCAGATTAGGCCTTCTGTAGCCTTTCATCCACAAGTTGCTGCACATCCTTCTGGAGGCGCTCCTACCGTCAGCATCATGCACTTGCTGAACTAAAGCTGAGTTACCGTAACGCTGGTAAAGAATGTGGTTCAGTTCAACTACTACAGATGTTTAATAACCAACTTCAGCTACGACATGTGGGTTAGGACCTAGGGACCGTAAAATAATCAACTGGAAAAGAAAATGGAAAGCAAGTTCTTGCTATGGCAACATAGTCTGGAGTCTTCGGGGAAAGGCTTTGCTCCCTGCTCCAGGCAAGACCAGGCATATCCGTCCTTGAAATGGAGAAAGGCGGTGGATCCCCCAGAGAGGACAATGTTGCTGTAAAGCCTTGGGCGGACCCAATGCGCACTTCTCTTCTTGAGGAAGCAGTCAGATCTGGAGAAGAATACAATAAAGGAAAAGCCAAGAAAAATACGAACACGAATTGTGCAAATAACAATAGACTGACAACAGAGATACAAATAATTGTGCCTATGCGAAGCACTAGCTTGTATATCCAGTTCATATACTGCGCAGCTCTGAAAACCAGAAGTCCTTGTACATCTAATTCATGAGTCAATGGCCAGCGCAACATTAAGGGTACTTCCAAAGCGCCACATGAAATATTGTAGTTTCCATGTTCATTGCACGTATTAAGCCTATTTCTAAACATAACATAACAAGAGTGCTTACACCCTTTTCCATCTGTGAATCTTATTCTATACATTTACTTCGGCGCCCCTACATCAGGTCACACAAAGGTCACTTCTGAGGCCGACGCCTACGGCGATAGTCGATTGGACATTGCGAAATGCAGGCGTCCACAACCTTCACTCCAGGGAGCAGTGTTGCCATTTTCCAAATGGAGGTGCTCTTTTTCAGGGCCCTTTGTCGTAAAAGTCTGTCACCAATTTTTCCTGGCACCAAAAGAACGCAGTCAGTCTGAGAGACTTAGCTGCGGACTGCTGTCACACATATTAATGTGGACTTCTACCACCTCTGCAAAAACCGCTGGGCCGGAGCAATTTGAAAGATGGCCAGAAGACTCTCCATGCGAGCATCTCTAGTTGGCTTCCTTAGCTCTACCGCGAGAACGCGACGAACCCAAGGCGCCACATCCTGCTGCAAGGAGCTGCTCCACTCGCGCATGGCCCAAGCTTTCTCCAGTGGACCTCTCACCTCATGAAGAGCCTCTGTGGTTCGATTCCGTGGAGCCTGCTGAGATGCGACGCGCTCCTAGTAACATGGAGCAATCGGCGGCTGCGAGTCGCCGTTGGCCGGACTTCGAGGATCGGCTAAGCCGTAAAGTATGTCAAGCCGCTTCTCCGTTTCCTGCAAGACCTTCCTCTGATAATTGTATTGTTCCGCTCCAGCTCGAACTTCATGACTTCTGACGCCTCACCACTGCACGTCAACGCCAAATGCTGCAACACACTGTCTCAGTGAACCGTCTGCGACTGCATTAGCTGCTCAACATGAAAAATCTTCGCTGGGTCCTTGCCCGGGAAATGATGCTGGGGGTGTATGGTACACGGCCCAAAATCGGGGTCAGAGAAGCAGCGCCGAGCCAAAAAATGTGTAAGTCCAACGACAAGTGCATCACTGCTTGCAGATTTCTACTTGCAATACCGACGATAGAGTCGAGCAGCGCAATGTTGAAGGCAATGAAGCACATTAGCAAAGCTGCAAAAGAATTGCGGAGCACACACCGACTGCCCAGCAGAAAATTCAAGATTTGGGGCTTGTGGAAAGACAGCGCCATGTACCTGTTCTTCTTCGGCCTGGCAATCCCAATCGGAAATATCTCCTTGCATCCGGGACGTCCACAAGCTTTTCGGAGCTCGGGGCCATTCGTGGTTGCCCAGGGACTCGTTGTGGTGCCAGCACGTTCTCGGTGGACGATGCTTGCAGATCGGGAGAGCAACCACTGCACCGTCCTCTCGTTCCCATTGTCACATGCCGGTAAGGCAATTCGTCCATCGACATCTTGCTCCTTCGCGCGGACAACCTGTACACACACCCCTTCCATATAGGAGAGTTGGCTTGTTTCGCAGCCGCGATGAAATGGGTGGGTCAGTCCATGTCGTGCGGATGAAGCAAAGCTGGATTGGCCTGTGTCATTGCATCCAGACCAGCCGCGCAGGAAGACTTTGCGGAAAATGCGCTAGAGAATCTCAGAATTGTTGATAAGGTCGGGGCACGCGCGCATTTCAAGCACTTGCCTTTGCAGGGGTCCAGCATCAAATACTCCCATACCATCCCCCCCTTTAAAGAATCTCTTGAGTGGTTTATCGTGCACCAGAGGCCGCTCCCTTATGGCAAGCACCACTGGGCTTTCGAGGTCGAGGAGGAAGGCTTCAGCGGAGAACGTCATAGCTTCGACTTTCGGGGAGTGAAGCTGAAGAACTACAAATCTTCAGAAGGGGCAGGCATGTTGCATGCACGCCAACAAAACACAGAGCATGGTGATTGCCGACTTGTGAAGCTGTAGTCACGTTTGCTTCAATGAGTTGGTCGGATCCTACGGTGCTGTCCAAGACACCTCCAAGATTAACGCCAACTTTCGGATGTCTAAATATCAGTCATACTGTTGATATAAGGCTGCGGACTTTCTCCATGCAAGTTCCTTTGCGGGGTCACCACACATCCCTGTAAGGGCAGAAATGCCGAGGCAAATCCCCATGATCACGAAATCCTGCTACCACAAAGGCTGGCTGCCCCAGGAATCAGTCATCCTCAGGCCCCGGGAATCAGATTTGCAGAGGAAAAACTTAGCCCTACTAGTGTCGCTTGTGCGTGGCAGTGCTTCCGGGTCCCCTTATTGCAATCCATCCGTTTAGGACAGAGAGGACATGACATGAAGCAGAGGCAGGCCTGCGGCAGAGGGGTCGTCATTCCGTCGACAAATATCTCCGGATGGAAGAAGATCTGTGCAAGTGGCTCTCATTCAAAAGATTGAATCGAAGGGCATAGGGATCGGAAAAAGTGTATCTTCCAAACGTGAGGGCCCCATCGCGTAAAGCTTAATTCTTGCACGTTCACGCATGTATGGGCTTATGCGGGGAAACCACATATAAATCCACCCCTGGCTGTGGCCGTGGCAATGTTGTGCAGAAAACATCCTCTGCGCAGTCCAGTCATTTGAGGAATTGAGAGACTCCCAGAGGCCTCCGGCGCAAGAAAGCGCTCGTAGCCGATCTGTATCTTCCAGTCCTGACTAAATCTGACAGAGGGGGCTGATGTTGAAAGATGTCGAAGCACTGCTCTGTCTAGTTGCTATACAGCTTGGGAAATTAAGAAGCGTTTGCACGTGCGGCCTGCTTCGTCTTTGGGAAATACCCCTGCAGCGTCTTGAACCGCCGTGCATCCTGGCATCTTACCAGGCTTGCAGGACTCAAGCACGCTGAGCTTTTTGCATTGGGCTTCTTTGTGTATGAAGGGAGTCTGGTCTAAAATTGTTAGAAAGTCAGGTTCTCGCAATCATAACTACTTCCGCGCCCTTTCGGATTTTCAGAAGAGAGCATAGTGACGGTGGGTTCAAATTGAAAGTGAATTGCAGGCTCTGGCTGCAGCATTGTGGGGCGAATTTGCTGGAAGTGGAGCTTTCCACAGTCTGAAGCTCCATTTCACTTTCCTGTGGCTGAGATTTTCAGGGCGGGAGGATAATTTCGAAAGGGAGGAGGTTGATGCCTAAAAGCTCCTGACTACAACAGCGTCCCTTCAACAGTCACCGCGGAAGAATTGGGTCCAAGTTCTAAAATTCAACTAGAACCCTGACCCCTGCGACGAAAATGAGATGCCAGCTACCTGGTCGAACTTCTGGTATTCGTCGACCTGGCTATGCGCTAGGGCTGCTGCGATGCCTAGTTTAATTGCTCTTGATCACTCTTAGTAATCTGTCTACCCTGACTTGGAGATCTTGCAGGCCTGCAACACGACTGATCCAATTTCATGCGAAGGTTGTCTTTGATTGACTGCACTATGCTTGTACCTGCTGCTCCACAATACTGGGTTGCTGTTAAGG